AAGCTTTGTAGTTTTAGTCCAGTGGCAACGTTGCTATAGGCAAAGAAGGAAAAGTAACAATTGCTGAAACTCCGTTTTTGACGTTACAGGGGTTCCTTATCATTGACAGAAAAAAATTGTACTGCTTAAAAGTGGGGGTTGGGGGAAAGTGATTCTAAAAGTTGCATCTTACCTTCAACTTGTGTTCTGCAGTTTGTGATGTTTTTCTGGATATAAGCAGGACATAATTGCCTAAGGTGCTATCAGAGCTTTTTACAAAATTTTATCTTTGCGCAAGAATTATGGTGTGTTGAAATGCTTTCTATTTGTGCTCAACTTCTTGATATTTTAAAAAGATCCTAGAGGATAAAATCGAAAAAGTGGATCGTTAGCACCCTGTGGACTTTGTTTTTAGCACGCTGCAAGAGTTTCATTTTGAAATAATAAAAAATGACACGTAAGCTGTGAAGTGCAAATCGGTTTTTGGGCGAAATTCGTCTACTGTTTCGTCCTGCCAGTCCAAGCGACGTGACGGTGCGTTCCGACTAAGAAAAAATGTATTCAAATAATTTGATATACTTCCTAAAATAAATTCAAGAACTCAAATTAAAATTCGTTTATTCATGTCAGTAATTATGTTTACAAGGGTCTTGTGGTACATGGTAATAATTGAATGAGGCTCATAAAAATATCTTATGCCGACAAAATAAGAGGAAACAGTTAGGTAGTTCTTGCAAAGCAATAAACAGGTAGGCTTATACCTGGATTAAGTACATTTCTTGTCTACTGTAATAGGTAGATGGAGGCGATGCTACCAGAAATGGATGTGTGCGATCAATAAACAAACCACAAGACTGAACTGCGGTGTCCAATGATTTTTGTATTGCCTTTTCTATTGCCTTACTAGAAAACTCTGTTGGGTATATGATGGAGTTTACTAGAACTTTACAGCTTGTTGTCTCCCTTCTTCTAAAAACTTCACCAAATCGAGACGCTGTCAACCTTATCATCCGATGAAGGCGCGACAAAGTACCGTCCTGTGATTTGGAGACTTGTTCGATCTGCAAAATCTCGTCGTCACTTTTTTTTAAGTTTCCCTAAAAATTTTCGCTTAGCAACCTCCAAATCAATGTAGTTAATGTCAGGTTTTTGATTGAATTCGCCATAAAACTATTCATTTTCTTTGGAATTGCTATCCGAATTGTTAGTTATTTTTCAGCTTTTTTTGGTCAGTGTTTCTTTTCAAGATTCTTGCGTTTGAGTCTTTGTTCCATCTTAGCGATAAGCGAGGTTGGACTAAGCTTAGAACGCAAATGTATTTAGACCACATATACAGGCCGCTGGATATTGTGGCTCACTACAGCTGCAGCACATATTCCATAGTATGACCTCTCCTGGAAAAATGTGTTCGCTTACCCCAATGTATTTTACGATTACAGAGTTGGACTGCTCCACACTATTGTTGACCTCATCATGAATTAAACTCACTGCATTCGTAATAAAAATGGTCGCATATGACCATTTATTGTCCATTATCAGCCTTGATAAAAAAGGCACTTAAGAACAATCACACCAACAACAATTCAACAACACAATATCGACGAACAGTAACAAGGGGAGAAAAATACTAAATGATCACTTGCTGAGTACCAAAATAAGAAACGATTTTCATTCTAGATCGCTAGTCGAAATCCGACTCTGTTATTATAAAAATTTACCTTGGTATGCAGCCGCAGTCATCCATTCCTCTTTTAAAGTAGCGCCGACGACCGTCAAGGGCCAGCCTACCCTCGTTTCCTTTTTACCCCCCGTTACCTCAGCAGATGGTGCTCGTGATTGTAGCCCCGTTAAGATTATATGAAACACATCGCACGCCCATGCTAATGCGACGTCTTTTCGTCATCCCGCCTAATTCAAATAAATGCCGTGTTATGCTGTTATGTTTCCGAGTATAGCATGCTATGACTTTTATAAAAAGATGTACAGCTTTTAAGCATAAATGTGGCCCGCAGGGTGCGTAAGCTCGCGGTTTACGTCTTGCATGATCGAAGTCAAATTGGACTTGTTTTAAGAAGTTGACGACATGATATTTTTGTGCCGACATATTAGAACAACCAGTATTTTCATAGTACGCCCATCCCGACTCCTTCTATGGTATCTAACAAATTAGAGAAAATTCTTAATAAGATTGTGGGAATGCATGGATCATGGAACCTTTTATTGTATGATGAAAAAACGGAAAATCGTGCATTCATTCAATGATTTAGTAGTTGCAGCTGAAATGTTTTGGATATCTCAGAATAAGCACTTAGTCTCTTGAATGCATAAAAAATTACGTCAAGCAAGTTGACTCTGTACGCGATCATCAGTTCGTAAAGGATTATGTTTGGCACAAGTTAAACCTTCTGAGAAAAAGGTTAGCTTCGGACATGTATAACAAAAAACTAAATGGCCTTCCTCCTCCCCTGAGAGAAATTGCTGCAGGTGCACATGATCGTTGCGATGCCCAATACCGAGTGAATGATGATATTGACCTTCACCATGCACAGGGCACACAGTCCACATCACCACAGCAGTGAGAGAAGTAACCATTTTTTAGAAACATTGTTTACATAAATTACTAGATCAATAGCTTTATGCTCGCATCGACCAGTTCTGGATGTACGAAGTTCGACACGGTTAGAATGGAAGGCTGAAGTCAGGTGGGTCTGTCTTGCAGGCGCATCGCGCGGCGGCATCAAGAGAGCTCTGAGAAGCAAAGCCCATTGGCGTAACAGTAGAAGAGAGCTAGATCGCCGACGGCCCGCTGGTGCGATAGTGTCCCCAGACTGTCCGTTAGAGAAGAGTCATCGATCAGTAAATTCCTTTTGCGAAGCAACCTTAGTCCTCAAGACTCTCTGACCTTCCAGAAGGTTCTGTACGAAACTGTACGAACAGGTAACTTCCCTCCGATTCTGATTTTGATAGACACCGACAAGTCACCGACTACTGTACCAACAAACAATAATATTCAGAGAGAGCGAGATTATATTCTAGGACATCCTGTATAATAACAATACTGTGACTAAGACCTAAACTGTTACCATAACAGGCCTAAAGCTATAGTAAGGTTGCCGAGTGGGAAGTACAAGCATAACTGGGGCCTTAGAGTAGAATGAGCAAAAAGCTGTGCTTAATCTGAGAACATGTACGTTATAGCCCCCGGGACATTGGGACACTGGCGAGGAATTCCGAATGCCTTATGTGCACAATCGATGGGAATGCAATTAGAGACGCCCTATGTGAGGCATTATTGCAAATCCTAGGGATAAGGAACTGAACAATGGGACTGTTGCGATGTTTCAATTTGGAACGAAGGTTATCCACTCTTTTATTTAAAAGAAATGGCAAGCGAGATACATATACTTACAGATATTTTCCTGTGAGGGTCAGTAAGTCTAGTCAAAGGGGTCGTTTCAAGAGATTATGAATCAAGATTGATGATTTCCGGTTCACAGAAGATATCCTTAAATTGTAATGGGCGTGTCCGAGTTCTGTTATATATACGAAAAAAATCTGATTGTCTTGAGGAATAGGGATTAACGGGATACTCGGATCCTCGCTAACACCTTATTAGAATTCTAATTTGATCATCGTTCCTTATGATTCAGTGGCTCATAAGTATTTTTAAAATTAGATGTTGACAAAATTGTGCATATGGAAGTTTATAAATTCGATACGAGCTTTGTAAGACAAGCATCGGCAAATCTGGATGAATGCGGTGGATGTATTAGAAATTCTAATCATGAGTGTACAAACATCAAATGTGGAGAAAAAGCTTGGCGCATGTCGCATCTATTTACGTGCATATTTTCCAAATGGACAAACTACGAACTTCTGAAAATTGTTTCCTGGAGCTGCATTTCTGTAAAAAATGTGACGTTTGGAAAAAATATCTACAGGGTGTCATTATTGGTATCCAGTGAACCAAAAAGTTAGACTTACAAAGTCTTCAAATTTTAGTGTACTTACAACTAAAAAATATAAGCTTCTAGGATCTGTTTACCTTCTAGAGAGCGTTTTTATTACAAGTATGTTAATTTCTGGACCATAATGCTCCAACACCTAATTTCAATATCTAAGGTAAAATGATCTGATTTCAATGCATTTGGATCTAAATGTAGGTGCTTTTTACGGGCAAAAGTATAGTGTCTTAAACAAATTAAAATGCACCAAATTAAGTAATTACTCCCTGTGCTTCTTCTGCCAGGGAGTAAGTCCCGACCAAATTTCTCAACGCCAAATTGCGCGAACCTGTGAATCAGATTTTTCGTAGGAGGAAAGCTGAAATTATAGCCGGAGTCTGTCCCTAAGGAACACTCAAGCATTAAATTTAAACAAGCGAAAACATCAATTAGACGACTGAAAGGAAAAGTCAGTTACATATGTGTAATGATTTTCTGGAAGACTAAAAAACAAAAGTTGGAATATGAAAGCAGCATGCCACAGCTCATCGAAAGTCCTTGTATTGTAGTACTAAAAGCAATCGCGTTGCCTTCACCATATGACTGAACGTCGTTCAGTCCGCAAATATGTGAGGTAAGTTAGGAGATCCCAGATGATATCTACTATCGGAAACCACATATGTATGTTTTCGGGCGCCTTCGGGCAAATTGATTCAGACCAAAGGAAAATTTTGAAAAATTGTCATTTATCAGACAATTATGATTATTAGATTACGTTCTAATTAGCGATGTGCCGAGTACGGTTTGACTTGAGTCAGACTCGATTCCTGCTTTAGAACTCGCCTACTCGAATACCAATTTATTTTGATTCGAGTACGCCGGACTCGATTCCGGTACTCGAGTGATGAAGAATCGATTTGCACTCGATTCTATTTATGCGAGTCCAATTGACTCGAGTCTCGTATTCGAGTTTGGTTAACTTGCTCGTACTCGCAAACTGTTTACTTGTGCGGCCACACATAAAGCTGCTAGCGGGGAAGGTAGCGAAGAAGAAGACTTCGAATACTGGCTACACATGTCGCTGGTTTGGAGGCGTATGTTATTTTAATTCGCAAATTCCATAAACAGTACAGAGCCCAGGTGACGGTGGTGTTGTTATTACGGAAAAATGTCTCTTGATAATAATTTATATTTAATCTTCTACAGATAATGCTCAACAATTTGTTATGGACGAGTTGATGATGTTGGAAACACAGGAATCTCAAGCTCAATTCCAGGTGCCAAATACTCCAAATGGATCTCTACTGCCAACTACTTCACGTCTCGAAACACCTACAACTTCACCTTCAGATTCCCAGCAGATAACTTCAGAGGTGACTGGCGAGAATTTATGGAAGCATCTATATAAAACGGTATTGAAAATTTCAAGCATGGAAAATCTCACAATATCAGCAATTATCATGGTGAAACAGTACGTAGAGGCGTGGAGCTACCGATTTGGATAGAAAAGCCAATCCACTGAAATTTTGGATACTTCGCAAAATCACCAACAGCGGCCTTTATAAAGTAGTTTTGAAGAATTTATGTATTCCAGCCACTTCTGTGCCTTCGGAACGATTTTTCTTTATGGCTGGTCCTGTATGCAACCAACGCCGCAATAGACTGGAGTCCGAGAAGGTTTACCAAATACTTTTTTTGAACAGTTATTTCAAATAACTTTTATTCTCTATACCTTTTATTTTTTATAAATTCATTTAGTTATGTACGGTATTGTGAGTACGGTTTAGTTTACTTAGATGGATCTGAATATCTTCCCAAATGTTATATTCTGAGCTGTTGAGTCTGTGTACCTACTTCTGTAAAATTAAAAAGGTTTGATTTTAATGCTTGCTATATCTGTCTAGTGTTTAGATGTATAGGATTCCTTAAAGCTGTCTCAAATTACTAATAAATAAATAATAATATCTAGTCTAAGTCGTGAGTAAATTTTATTATGTTCTATGTTTTTTTGTTTTCTCCATAGAACTCCTTTGCTCTTTGTTTTTATTTAATGTTTATAAATATCTTTCATTAAAAATTATTGATTTATTATTGTTGTGTCATAATGCTTAACCTAACCTATACGCTGTTTGAAGTTAACTCCTTTTCATTTTTCCCTTTTATTCTAAAATCGGACTCTAGTTCTGGACTAGAATTTTCAGAATCGAATTTCTAGACTCGAGTCCAGCCGGGCTCGAGTCAATATTCAAATCCCTAACATAGAATTCGAGTACTGGTCTCGAATCAGGGAATCGAGTCATGATTCGAATACCATATAAACTGACTCGAGTGGACTCGATCCATCAAAACAGCGACTCGGCACATCACTAGTTCTAATGGCCTGTTGCACCAACACTGAAGTCGAGTTTTTTAAGACCACAGAAATCTAGGGACTTTTTTATGTAATTCAAGATGGAAGATAACTCACAACTTATTAGGAATTCTAGTTCAGGCAGAATATTCAAAACTGTACAAACTAAATTTCATAAGAAATGGTAGTTTTTGTTGGAAATAGTTGTTGTTTTCAGTCTTTGAATAATTCTTTTAGAAAACCTCTACTTATTGGTTCAAGGATACAAAAATCATCGTTTAAAATATCATCACTACTAATATAATCCATTTATGAAAACTAAAAATGAAATAGAAGATCTGTTAGTGCTTGTACTATAGAAATCTCCAAAATAAACCAGTTTTCCGTCTAAACTAACGCTAAATAGGTTGTGGTTTATTTTTGTTTTAACGTCTGTTTCTTTTTCAAAATGTTGGAAACGGTAAGACATCATTTATTTAGTTTTCTTTGCCTAAGTCTTAATAATATTTCATAAAGACTAATCATTTTTCATATTATATAGTTTTTTTTTCTTTAATAATAAACTGCTATTGTTGTAATATTAATTGATAAAGACAGATTCTTTCTTGGAGATACACTACTATCTTACCTCCCATCCTCCCACAACATATTCATCAGTTTGAAGTTTCGGTTTCGGTTTCGGCCGAAACTAAAATTGGACCGAAATTTCGGTTTCGGTTTCTGTTTCAGCTGAAATACTAGTTTCGGTCGGACACTACTTGTTTTATTTTAGAAGAGCCCAATTGATACACTTCTCATTTCGTAAATCACAGAAAGCGGAGCTATTATAAGTTTGCGTTGTGGAAAAGCCCATTTATAAACTATGGCCCGGTTAGGTCTAGAATAGATTATATCTAAGCGATGCATATATAACCCTAAGCCGAAAATCGCTGCGACTGGAAATATTCAACAGAAATGCGACTATTAGTTTCGTTCTGACTTCTAAATCTAGAAGAAGTATAATGAGGATATAATCGGGAAAAGTTCTTTCCTCGAACTGACTATATAATTAATATTAATCTGCTTAAAGATTAATATTTCCAGGAACGCTGTTAGATAATTGCTTTTAGGAATATGGGTCCTTGCTAAGTTTGTTTTGTATTCATTTGGAGGAGAAGAGCGCTCGACAACATAATATTTTCGCTTTTGGGTTCACATCAAGATTCACCTTCCAATACAAAGCATCGTTCAAAAAAATATAACGGCACTTCAACACTTACCCAGAAAAAACGAGAAAAGGATTGAATCGATGACTCCAAAAGCCTCATAGGTCACACAGTTTGAAATTTCAAGAGACAATAAAAACCGTCTCTTCGGTGCAAAAACTCTTAGGGCTTAATATAGTATTTCAGTTCAAAATTGAAATATCGTCCAACCTTCACAGTTTATTAATAACAATAATGTAAAGAGACTGAAAATCTGTTCTCGACTTATATTCAATTAGAAAGAGATATGGCCAGTGGTGTATAACTTAAGCAAAAAAATATCGTCAAGTAGATTGTCTCTGTACTTGCAAACGGACTTTGTATATCGTCGGTGTTAAGATGCCTATGTAACATTTTTTACACATCGGGGCTTTCTGAATATCTGTATAGTCAAATATAAGCTCCGTCATCTGATGAACAACAGGTTCATAATAAGAAACTGGTATTTCTGTATAGATTTACTAAAAATCAGTTTGAATGGAAGCAAAACCAATTTTTTAAATTCAAAAGAGTTTTTATATCAATCTGCAAAAACTGCTTCTAAACACATAGGAGTTTTCATACATAGTATCTAAGTCAACTCTTGTACGCGCTGGCATCTTATTGTTCGCCGGCTATAAAAACCTTGTGGCCTTGGGCCTTAGAGTAAAATGAATATCACTGGAATAAAATATTGTTGATTTGGCAAACTGAAATTATGGACTTTGAATAAGCAGAATGTACGGTATCTGATTTAACTTTGTAACGTTCTGAATAGTTTGGCTTTTATACGTACGATGGCGGTCCGATAAGTACTTAGCCTACAAAAGAAAAACTAAAATTTTGGAAAAATGAAGATTTATTTCGCAACATAGCAATATAACTTTTTGCTCGATACACGATTTCCAGCGATGCTCCAACTTATTTAACCGGGCTGAAAAATAGGTTTTCTGGTGATCTGGAAAGTACGCCTCAGTGGCGGCGATAACGTCACCATTCGACTCGAAGTTTGAAAACAAAAAGAAGTCGCACGGGGGCAAATCTGGAGAATACGGTGGATGGAGCAGCAGTTCATAGCGTAATTCGACAAATTTGGCCGTGGCGACAGCGGAAGTGAGAGCCGTTTTTCTGCACTTCGGCATCGAATCGGCTCAATAATTCGGCAAAGTAGAGCCCTATGACCGTTTTGGCCTTCTGCAGGTAGTCGATCTAGACCATACCTTATGAATCCCATAAACCGGTGACCATCACCTTTCAGGCCGATAGGGCAGTCTTCGCTTTCTTCGGAGCACGTACGTAGGTGAAGTCCACTGTTGCGACTGTTCCTTTGTCTCTGGTCTGTACCAGTGGATCCATGTTGCCTTTCCAGATGCCTACTGTCTCAGCTATCTCGCGCACCTTCAATGCGCGGTCTGCCAATTCGAGATAGTGGATCTTTGTGACGTTATCCTCCGTGGTAGCCATTTTCGAGCCACCTGGGCGTGGCTCATCAAAAACCGACGTGCGACCACGTTAAACTCAAACCAATTTTTGACGGTCGCTTTCGGGGGTCACCGCACACAGCACCCAAGCGCTCTTTGATTTCGCTATGCGAATTTCCCTCCAAAAACAACAATCTAATCACCGACCGATATTGCTCGTTTTCCATTTTTCTAAGATCCGCGGTCTTGCCCGCTTCCAAATGTAGTCAAAACAAAACTACGGGTACGTTTCGGCTGAAATTTTGACAGTAGCCGTCTACGAGAACGTACCACACCTTAGAAAATTTCTCTTGCGACAGTGGCGCCATCGGGCGGTGAGGCTAAGTACTTATCGGACCGCACTCGTATTATACAGAATATTTCTGTCTATTAGTCATACTTTTACTTACCACGGCTACTGGCGACGAAGTATTGTAATCGCGAAAAATTTCGATATTAAGGTATTATGGTTTTTGGATGTTATATGTATGTCTGTATGTCCCCTGACGCTCAAATTTGGATGAAATTTTCACACAAGGTCACTGCTATACCAAGGACGATAAATCTTTGTATCCAAAAACAATAAAAATTGCACAAAAGTCCTTCTTGGACGTTTCAGAGGATACTGATCATTTTTGAAAAAATAATTAGGGGTAAAAAATTAGTGGGTGGGGGATTGCAGGGGGGTGAGGGAGGGTATATCTCAATTTTTTGATGTTAGCATATACACATCTATTGGCCATATTTCACACATTGTACATTTGTCTTTAAAATTTAGAATGATACAGAAATGTTTTCGATGCGTGTCTCTTTCTGCTATCTGGGCTCAGCGCCCGGCGTAGCATTGTTTGATTTTTCTTCTCGTACAGCGGCAGTGCTTTAGTAGGCGTTGCTGCGTCTAACGATATGGGAAGAGGCAACGTTGCCGGTAGGGCAGGGAACAAATGTCTATCGACTAATTCTATGGGCATGTTTGACTGACTTGATCCATTCAATTTCTCTACTGTACATGTTTGTAAATATTTTTTCCTCAGAGGGCTTAACTGATGCTGAGCTTAGTCCTTTATGAACCGATGACTACCTTGCGTAGGAGTCTTCCTACTTGACGCCATTTTTTTCCAGAAATATTCAATGCCAAACTTGAACTTGTATGCCTCAACATTTCAATTCACTTGAACGGTTTAGGGACTATCTACACAGAAAATGTGAAAGGATACACATTGCAGAAAAATCCCCCATTCCTCCGTTACCCTACGCTCTGTATACATTTATGAGCTGAGCTTCATGAACTCGTAAAAATAAGAATGAATCAATATACCTACCACTTAAACGAGTCTAACAACCCTTTATATTATTACCATCACGATATTTTCTGTTATTAACCTCTGAGCGCTTCTTCCCATGCACACAGTTTCTAATTGATTCAATTAAACAGACACAGCAGTGGCCATTAATCATTAGGCCAATTAAACGCCAAAATATGCATACTATGCCATTCTCAGAGAAAGTCAATATAAATACTACGCTGTCTATCGTCAGCACTGCTGGAAGAGCTTTTTGGAGGTTTCAATAATAGCACAGTTATGTTAGAAATGAATATTTATTTCTACTAGCGTGCTGAAAGTACAACTTTCCCGCACACATTTCAGTTTAGAAAGTGTCAATTTTCCGCACGCCGAAAAGTAAAAGTGTCACCAGCGCAGCGGAGCTAAAACCTAAATAACCAAAAAAACCTAAAAAACGACAAAATTTCAACTTGCTGCCTAGGTAGTTTCTAGGGTACAAATAGTACATTCCGCTCTTGCTCGCTATGTTCGCTGCGACCGTCCATCTTTGGAGAAATGACTCAACGGCACAACACGCTCAATGATCATGCTGCAAGCGCAAGTCAGTTCCCCATCATGCTTTGTTGGTTGCAGAATGCCGAGATAGTCTGTAGAGTATACCCTGAGAATGTGTGGCTAAGTAGCAGAGTAGCAAGATCACATCTGGATGATTG